GGGACCTACCAGTCAAGATTATTTGTGCGTGCATCATCTGGTCCTGGTCATCCTCGCCATTGCCCATGCCGTGAACCATCACCCTCGGGCCTCGGGCTCGAACAAATAAGGACGTAATGGTCCATCGTCTGGCTCAATATTGTCACCATCGTCGCTTACTGAACCGGATTCAGATTCAGTTCCTAAAACGACATTTTTCGTAGGAAAGCCGAGAGGATGTTTTCTGACTCGCCATCATCACTGGATACCTCGTACAATCCTTCTTCTTTGTCTGGTATATTTGCCCTTCCACGTTCATTCTGCATAGACGCCATGGTTTGTTATCGTATCGTCTTCCTGAGTTTTCGTCACTTCCGGTTTGGCTGAGTCAAACATTTCGTTTCTAAAAAAACTTCGGGGAAGCTGCAATAAAGTGCTTCTAACATGCGTAAGGCAATTATTATATTTTTTTAATCAGGTGTGATTGTTTTGGTACGTAATTATGCTTGTATATAAGTTAAAACGAAACTATTTGAGGTTCCATTTCCACTATCCCTTTAAGCTGATCGATGGCTACTGCCAGATTTGCAAAATGTGCCTCTGAACCTTGACAAGTGCATGTTTCAGGCTTATCAATGAACAACAGGAGGGGTCACAGACATAAGACCAGCTGTTAAATAAAGCTCTTCTGACCTTAGCTGTCGTGTGGGTATATATTAATGCTGCCCATTGGGCACAAGCAATTTTCACCGATTTATTAATTATATTTTTTAATTTGAGTGTTTCCTATCCACTAAACATCCAAAATCAAATCAAATCAAGTTTTATTTATATAGCACATTTATAAAAACGATTTTTGGTCGAGGCCAAAGTGCTGTACATATAATAAAATTAGCCTACAGTAGAGACACTTTAACAGCAAATACAACAGCACCGATTGTTCAGAATATCAGTATGAGAAAAAACGACAACCCTCTATCCTCCAGGGATGTACACAGTTTAAATACTGGCAACTTCTTATTATGGGAAATATGAAAACGTCTTTTAAAAACTACAATTCCCAGTAAGAGACGTGCCAGCATGTGTAGTTCTGGGGACGGGGTGGGGTGAGGGGGGGACGCGGTGGACCCGTTCAAATCCAGTTTTGGACAGTCTGCCGTGGTCCCATCCAATTTCATGGGGTATTGTTCTGCACGGACATTTTAGTGAGCCGGACTGCCGGTCTTTCGCCTCCCCGGGCATGAAGCTGTTTACATGTGTTTTGAGATGCTAAATAAAAGTCTAGCTAAATAACTAATACGTTTGCACTGTGGACCAACACTATACATTGACGGGGAAGGGGGTAGCAATAAAGATACACCATTTTACACAACATAACAGAAATAATATCGATAGCAGCGTCCCTAGCAACCATCTTGGTAACAATGAAAACGTTGAATGGACACAATTTCCTGAAGTAATCTTCGTAATAACTAGCAAACATAAAGATCATGTACACCCACTGCACACATAATCTGAAATAACAACTCATATTTCTCGCATCAAATGACATCAAAACGCATTTTAATGACCAAACTAACCTTAAAATAGGCATTTTCCACCGAGAATAAAACGAAGTTCGGCCATGTTTTTTTTTTCTGCAGGGAGAAATTTGAAGATCACGTGACATAGAAGCCAGCCATTGGATGAATGGTGAAAAAAACGTAGGCATCATACAATTTCAGAGGCGTTTTTGTAGATATACTACGTCCCTACGTTGTGGACCAACGTAGTTATTACACGTTTTTTTGTGAGACTGGGTTGGCATTTCTTTCTGAGCAGCTTATGCCAGAGGAGAGAGCTCACAGAAAATAATTGGATTTCATTTTCCAGAGGAAGAAAACAAATCCCCCAAAACAGATGCATGCTTTCCTCCTCAGAGCTTGCTGCGACAGGCATAATAAAGAGGCAGGGAAGTCCCTCGAAGAATTGGTCAAGTGCACAACGCCCAGCGAGAGGAACAGAAAAACTCCTTTGATAAGGGAGGAAATCCCTTGGTGCCTCATTAAAAATGCCCCTTACCTCTGCACACATAGAAGTATACTATTGGTTGTTTGTATGTGTGGACGAAGGTAACTTCGTCACTATGGACTTGACGGCTTTCAGGCCGGGTAATATTGCACTTTATTAGCGTGATTGCACAGTACAGTTGACATTACATATTTGCACATAAGTCATACTAATTATTGAGGTAGTATCTTTTAACTGATTAAAAAACCGTATTTATTGGAATGTTGTCTGGCAGCTGCTGGCGGGGTCCTCGGCTCCGCCTGAAAAGATAGGGGAGTTTGCGAGAGCGCTGAGAGTAGTTATGCTGGTGTAAGGATGACAGCGGTTGAGAGTAATCAGGGTGCAAATAATATGTTGATGTCTGTGGCTGATGATTGTGTGCACCTGGTGTCCTGTGTTGTCTCTTCCCCCCTCACCTGTGTTTTGTTGAGCTGATTAGAGTGTGTGTATTTAGGCTCTGTTTCTCTGTCTTTTGAGGAGGCTGGTAGGGTGTGTGAGATCCTTGTGGCTGCAGGATGTGTGCATGGCGAACAGCAGGATTGAGGCTGTGAACTTTGTGCACATGATTTTAATAAATGCCCACGTCGGGTTATATTTTGGACGTTCTGCCTCTGCCTCCTTGCTTGGTCTGGGCCGCTCAACGGTCAGTCTCACAAATGGTGTCAGAAGTGGGATTTGACCAAGTAAGGAGGTGAAAATTACGAGAGAGGAAAGAAGAGGGACCAAAGAGAGGAACCGCGGCTGGGGGTGGCTAATGCCTGGAACGGACCAGGGGGGCCACAGCTGTTGAGGCAGCAGGAGACGAGAGACAAGCAGCAGGAGACGAGAGACAAAGCAGGAGGAGCAGCGTTTGCAGGCCGAGGAGGCGGACCCGGACCCACGAGGAGTCGACAGAACCTGGGTCGTGCTAGAGGCAGACCAACGCATTACAACAGGACAAAACAGCTTCCGGATAAGTGGCATCACGACATGGTTGACAACGGCTTCACTGGCCCCGCTGGAGGTGGCGGCGTTGAAACCGGGTGGCTGACTGGTTGTCCCGAAGCCGAGACTGTAAAGACACTGTGCTTCCTGGGGAGAGGGGGAAGGAAATGTGACGAAGGTAACTTTTTTTTGGACGCTCTGCCTCCTTGCTTGGTCTGGGCTGCTCAACGGTCAGTCTCACAGTATGATTCAATGATCACATGTGTAATTCCCTCGAAGCACAGGCAGACACAAGTGGCTTTCTCATAACGGGTTTATTCCTCCGAATCCACCGTGAAAACTACACAAACAAACAGTATAAATGACAAACATAGTTTCGTGTTAGACACACAATAACATGCACAGCATGTGAGATAATAAACATAAAAGTAATACAAACAACAACATACCTCGTTGGGCTGCATGCTCTGTAAACAGAGGGAAGTATTCTTCAGTTCTCTTCACAACTTATATGTATAAGAATACAAAACTAACGGAGCTTTAAGTATCCGTGCATCTAACTCTGAGGGTGCTTCTCATGTTCTCGCTCTCTAACTCACGCGAGAACAGCATAACGAGACGTGAGCTTGGACTTCAAAATAAAAGACGAAATATTGCACGCATGAAACATTACAACAATAATTATTATACACTTAGAAATACACATTACAGTTAAATTATGAACATGTAAAGGCTGCACTTACACTCCCACAAATCACACATTACTCGTGAGATTTCACACAAAAGATTATTGTACAAAGTACACGCTTTAACCCTTTGAAATAGACATTACCTGTAGATAACAACTTAACATGGAATCTCAGGCAACACATTAAACACCTTATTCTGCCTCAAGCAGAGTAACAACCTTGTGTACAGGTCTTTCAAGGAACACAGTCCTAATTGTGGGTTTCCCCTTTTTGTCTAATGTGGTTTGGCTAACCAGTAATTTAAGTTTTCTGACCCTACTATCTGACCCTGGAAAGACTTCTTTAGTCTTCTTCAAGACAATTTAGGCGGTGTACTGCGCACGTCTTGTTGTCAGGTAACTTTGGTCTTTCGCCTTTGAATGGTTGTACATTCATTGGTTCTTTGTTTCACACCTTGGTGTTCTTTGGCATGTCGTTTCAGTCTTGCAACTGCTCTTGACCAATCAGAGCATTTCTGTAAGCGATCCAATAATGACCCGTCTTCCTTGCGAAGTTCAGGATCATCCTTATTGAATTTCTCCCACCTTGCATTCTCTTACAGGTAGGTCCTTTTGCCAAATAAACTTTGGTCCTGTGAACCAGTTTTGAAGTCTTCAGTCGCTCTGCAGTTAAACCTTGAGAGGCATGAATCTGCTGGATTGTCTTTAACTTTGGTTCGGCTCACATAGTGTACTTCAGTTTTGAGACTGAGAGAAGGTTCTACACCTGGTGTCACTTGTCTTACTACTATGCGATGGCTAACGCCAATGGCATGTCCATAATCTAGACAGGGATTCATGTTTCCAACAATACTCCATCCAAGGTCTGTACGTTGTGCGTAAGGTTGATTTTCTTTGCCAGACACAACTTCTCTTGGAAATAAAGCTTGTGAGCAGTTGTACCCTATGAGCAGACCCACTTCACAGTCTTGCAGAGGTGCAATCTCTTCTTGGAGGTGCTCTAGATGAGACCAAGCGTTTGCAGTTTCATCTGTTGGTATGTGAGTTATATTGGCTGGAATGAAGTCACGTGTATAGACTGGTGGTAAGGGAATCTTTTTACCGGAGTAAAAGCCTCTGACTTGTAGGTTGTTCACTCTTTGAGCGCTTACAACTGTGGTTCTTGAGGTCATAGTAGATAGCTTGAGCTTGACTTGTTGTTTACTTGCTTCCAAAGCCTCAGCTACTTCACTTAGCAAAAATGTTGTGTCACTTTGAGAATCCAACAGAGCGTATACAAGGATTTCTTCTGCTGGTTGACATGTGGATGAAAGCCAGACTGGAATTATAGCAGCTGTTTGCATGTTACCTTCACCAAGTATTACTCTGTTGGAAGTAGCCGCTGTGGTTCTTTCTTCTTGTTGTGTTGGTTGAGGTATTTCTTTGTATCTTTCTTGATTTGTACGCTCTTCATGCAGACAGGTAGGATGTTGCTTCTTGCACACTTCACATACACTCCTACTGTGGCAGCTCCTTGACTGATGGCCAGTCTCGAGACATCCAAAGCATAGCTTCTGAGCTTGAATGTACTTAATTCTGTCTGGAACAGCTTGCTCCATGAACTTCCTGCAATTGTGCAAGGAATGCCAATTCTTCTTACACAGAATACATGTTAAGACGGTGTTTTCGTCTGAACTTGTGGTCAGTGTCTTTGCTGCAAAGCTTTGTTGTCTTTGAGATTTGGTGTTTTCAGCTTCACCTTGCTTCAGTGATTGCAATGATGTGACAGGGTTACAGGCAATCTTTGCTTCTCTTGTCAAAAACTTTACAAATTGGCTGAAGGAGGGAAATTGTTTACTGTCTTCTTGGACTTCAGTAACCTTCCGATTCCAGCTTGCAGTTAGCCAATCTGGTAATTTTGAAAGTATTTGCCTGTTTTCATTACAGTCATTCAAGATTTCTAATGCCTTGATATGGACCATGGCAGCCTCGCAACTACGGAGAAAATCTGCAAAATCTCTGAGCTCAAAGCTGTCCTTAGATCCTATCTTGGGCCACGATTGAAGCTTGTCTCTGTAGGCTTTTGCAATTGTAAATGGATTCCCATATCTCTCCTCCAAAATCTCCCATGCTGCAACATAGGCAGATTTGGTTCCGAGCAGGAAATAACCATCAAGTGCTTTCTTAGCTTGTCCACTAACATATCTCCTTAAGTAGTATATATTTTCTTTGTCTTGGATGTTCTTCTGGTCAATCAGTATTTCAAATGAAAGTTTCCAGTCATTGTATTTCAATGCATCCCCACTGAATACTGAAGGTTCAGGAACTGGAATTCTGTTGGCAGTTAAGGCACCAGCTAGCACCTTAACAAGCTCTGCTGTACTTTCACTTGAGGAAGTAGTGACAACCTGTCGTTGAGGACTTGTGGGAACAGGCACTGGGTTACTTACCAGATCCCTCTCTAGCACGTCTTTCCATTCTTCTTTAATGGACTCTTCTTGGTCATACACTTGCATTCTTGCTCGTGCTGCATTTAAATCTTTTATTGCTTCCAAATGCTGTATTTTTCTCCGATTGTCATCCAGAGTCTGTTGTAGAGCTACATGCTCTTCTTCTAGACGAGCTTTAATTTTAGCTTCCTCTTCCTCGCTTTCTGAACGATGTCTTAACTCTTCTGATTCTCTTTCTGAACGATGTCTTAACTCTTCTGATTCTCTTTTTGAACGATGTCTTAACTCTTCTGATTCTCTTTCTAAACGACGTCTTAACTCTTCTGCTTCTCTTTCTAAACAACGCCTCATGGCTGCAGTCTCTTGATCAGCTATCTTTCTTTTAGCTTCTGCTTCCAGGCACTGAATCTCCAAATGTTCTCTTTCTTGTTCTTGTAACACTTTCAGAACAGCTTGGCTTGCAGCAGCCTCAGCAGTAGCTTCTTGTCGTTTCACAGAAGACTGGTTCGATTGCTTGGAGTTGCTTTTCGAAGAAGAAGTGTAGGTGCTTGAGTTAAAGAGAGAACCTGCTTCAGGCCAATCTTTCTTTTCTCCTTCTGGAACCTTTCCATCGAGGAGACTTGAGGCTCTGATGATGACAAACTTAGAAATCTCTGCACACAGATCCACTCTTCGACGCGTGTCCTGGTCTGGAGTTGAGATTGTACGCAGATCCTCATAAACATGTTGGACATCTTCTGACAAACTTGTGACATCATGAATTATGTCATTAAGCAAATCTTCAGACAAAGACTCTGTTGTTTGAGATAATGGCCGCTTAGCTGTTTTCACTTGTGTTCTCCATTTCTCATAATTGTAGTTGAACTTTTGTAGGAGCGTTTTCATTTGTTCTTCTTGCATTTCTCTACCCTTTTCTGTAGGAGTTTTAGTTCTTTGACCTCTTCTTAGCTGCTGTGCTTCAGTGTTATCCACAGCTTCGTCTTGGGACTCTGCACTTTCCCTAACCTGAATTGTAGGCTCACTAGACTTAGACATTAGTACTACTTTAAAGTGACTCACTTTTATAAAACAGCAAAATGCAGTTAAACCTTTTAATGAACTTTCAACACTTACTCAAATGTAAGTGTGACTTAACCCTTAAAGACCTAGACGGAATTTTCGCCTGCCTGACTCTCCTGTATTTATTTGTTTCTCCTAACCTGTTCTAACCTTTTCTAGCAGTCAGCATCAAGTGCCTTACCTCATTTGATTCAGGAGAACCTCTAGTTCAAGTCTGGTTAATTTAAAGTCCAAATGTTACCTTAACTTTGTGTGAATTGCTGAATTGACCAGTTTTTCAAAAACGCCAGTACAAATGTTGTGTTTTTTTGTTTACTGTTTACTCCGACAGGAACATAGGAATTTTCTTTTTTATTATTTACAAAGCTGCATTTAGATGTTTTAGGCTTTCAAATGAAATTTAATCTGCATATTATGTTCCCTGAGTAAGTTACAGCTATTTATTCCATATTATCCTAGGCGTTTTTCACTGAAAAACACCTAGGATAATATGGAATGATTAAAACGAAATGTATTTCCATATTTAAATGACTGATCATGTTTCTTCTGTCAAGAAAAGGTTGAGAGTAACAAATTAAACCATAACAGATGACATTGCAACAAAAATAACTTGTTTCAGAGAAATATATTATCATTTGAACATTTAAATACAAACACAAACAGTGAAACAAACTCCAAGTGCTGGAGATACAAAGTGCAAATTATCTTGAAACTATAAACAAAGTGTTAGAAATATATAGAAAGTGCAAATTATCTTGAAACTATAAACAAAGTGTTAGAAATATATAGAAAGTGCAAATGTACAAAGAGCAAATGATCTTCAAACTATAAACAAAATATTAGAAAGATATACAAAGAGGAAAGGAAATGTATCAACATTTTTTTAATTATTTACATTAAATTACAATCAGACTTGATTCAGTCAATGGAAAGGTTTTACGTGCGGCTGCTATGCCACTTGCTGAAGCAATTTCTGTGAGCCACAAGACACAGTGTCACATCACACCGCGCACACTTCCAGATGGAACGTTTTTTGCAGAGCACACATTTTCGCCGACCTTTTGTTGCTGTGTCTCCCGACCTCCGTCTCGCAAATGAGTCAATTCCCTCCTCCTCCTCTGCACAGGACATTGACTCTGGCAAGCACTGTGCCCCTGTGGGTGGCACAAAGCTGCCAATTGGGACTCCACACAGCTCTGCAGACAGCTCCTCCATGAACTGGGCGTGGGACATGGCCACTGACCCTGAGGACAGACACATCTCCTTGTGCAGAATATAGCTGTTGGTTGCAGCAATGTCTATAAAGTGGTACAGTAGTGTCCTGTACCACCTGTTGGACCTCTTGTGGACTGAATAGTATTGGATGAGCTGGTCTGACAAGTCCACCCCACCCATGTATTTATTATATTCAACCACACAACGAGGTGCCATGTTTTGTTTTTGCCATTTCCCCGTTTCCTTAGCATACACATTCCTGGTGACAGTGTCTCCATTGAAGGCTTGGTGTATTGTAGAGCACACTGACACCTCTCTCGTATCCATCCACTTCACAAACAAAAGCTCCTTCTCTCTGAGCCATCGCATTGAGCCCCTGGGGCTCTTTGAGGTTAGCGCATTCAATTTTGATTTAGGCACGTTTTTCCGATTGTCGCGGAATGTACCACATGCCACAAAACCCCTTGCAAATAGGTCAGTAAAAAGTTTTGGGCTGGTGTAGAAATTGTCTACAAAAAGATGGTAACCTCTCCCCAAGTAGGAATTATCCATTAGGCCGCTGACAACATCATAAGAGAGACCCTGCCCTGAAATGAAGCGGCTCTTTCCAGTATAGATGGAAAAATCGATGGTATACCCATTGCTGGAGTCTGCTAACACAAACAGCTTCACACCCCACTTAGTTGGCTTGGCTTTCATGTACTGCCTCAGTCCAATTTTGGCTTTTGTGGCCACCATCCGTTCATCAATTGAAATTTCTTTCCTAGGCTGCCACATTGCCTTGCATGCCTCTTTTATGGTGGCTTGAAGTGGTTTTAGGCGATGGAGTGGATCGTACTCTGGGGTGTCCTTTTTCCGGTCATTTGCCAAATCATGGTCTGGGTCGCTCAGGTGTACAGCTCTGCTGATTGCCATGAACCTGTCTCTTGTCATGACAGAAGCAGGAAAGAGAACACTTAGGTGTGATCCCTTCCTCCAGTAGTCTCTTACTTTTGGCAGTTTTAGAAGTGCCATGAACATCATAAGGCCGACATACATGAGGAATTTTACCGGCTTTAGCTCTTCCCAAACAAACTTTTTCCCCTTAGCCTGCTCCTTTTCAGCATTTTTGTTTGTGTTCTTGCAGATGATATTTACAGCTTGGTTGTTAAAAAAATGTCTAAATATTTGTGCAGGAGTATACTCCACACCAACAAAACCTTGGACTCCAGGGGCTCTTTTCAGGCAAAAGTGTGGTAGTTGTTGGGCAGTATCTGGCACCTCAGGTCCGTTCCAAACAGCTCCTGGCTCTTCTGGGGTCAGAGATGTTTTTTTCCCTTTTCCTCTTCCTCTCCCTTTCACTGTCAGGGGGGCTGGCATTGGTTTGGCCTTTTTTCTGGATGCTGCACCCTCCTGGCCACATTCTTTTCCCTCTCGGTTTGAAGGAGGCCTACTGATGGGGACAGTGGCTTGTGCATCCTCTCTCTCATCCTCTGGACTAAAATAAAAGGGAGGAAAATATACAGATATAAATGTCTGAATTTATTTTATTTCCTTTATTGCTTTTATTTCTCCAGTGTCATCCTATCTATTTTCTAAACACAGTCTCAACTTTTGATTTGATTCACACTTTATCCCTCTGCTAACATTACTAGTTGATGGAATCAGTAACTGAATTGTAATGCAATGAATATAATAACATTAGACCTCATAACAAACAACCAAAGAGGGCAAGCGGAATGAGGCAATAAATGAAAGGTATTGCTTGACGTTTTTTTTACTGAAATAAATAGTAGCCTCTATTGATAGTGAATCTTGAGCTCAGGACTTCACTTTATGACACAATTACGGCAAATGGCCATCCATTATAAAAACTCTTAGGACGAATTATTTTCTGCGTTATACAAAAATAACAACCGATAAATGCAACACAAACAATAAGATATAAGCAAAGTTACTCACTTTTTATCTTCGAAGGGATCAATCCCGTGATCATACTCCTCTTCATCACGCCAGCTGTCAGCTTCAGAATCTGAGGAATCCACTGCTGCATCGCTAAGCGGTCCGCCAGACAAAATAAATGCTATGGCTTCTTCCGTAGTGTAACGCCGTTTTGACATGTTGGTTTGAATTTGTCTTGCGGTGTGTGTATATGTATGTATGTGTATGTGTGTGACTGTATCTAGATATCTCGTGTTGTATTTATTTCTCTTACGCTGGCAAAATTACTCTTCTTCAGTATTACTCTCTCGTCTCTCTTTGTTTATCTCCCGCCGCCAAAAACATACACAGCAACCTATGTTGATTGGTCGAGAAGATGGTAGCATGGGCAGAGGTTTGCCTGGACCTTTAAATTGTAAACCTATCCGGACACAGGGGGGTGGGACTTAGTCTAAAACCTTTGCTGTTTGGCTCAGACGGAGGGGCCGCGTGGGTCTCCTTGACGAATCAAGGCTCTAGAATGTGATGACGTTGCCCCGATCACGTCGGAGCCTCTGAATCCCGGAAAAGGACATAGTGATACCCATGAGTGATACCAGCGAAAAGCCTAGAATCGCCGCTTTACCTCACTTTTTAAATCAGATGGATAGGATTAGCGGTTACAAAGTTATTAAGCATTTTAGAACGCTACCCCTTTGAAGCCGCGGGCGGCTCGCTCGGTCTTTAAGGGTTAAATGTACCCTATAAGACTTCAATAGAGGTAGAAATGCACTTAAAATAGAAAATGTGCAAAAACCAGCTTAATTGAACTTTACACCTTTCAAAATATACTCAAAAATAAGACTTCAGAACTTCAATGAAATAACTTTCACTTATTATTCCCAAAAACACACTTTGAATTAGAAATTGGAAATAAAAACACTTATGTTCCCTTTAACTTTACGCCTTAATTAACAAGCCTTAATAAAATGACATGAGCAAATAAGTCAAAACGCTAACCACATACACTACTATAGTTGGCACTCACGGTAATAATGGTTTAGCAAACCTTTACAGAAGCCCTTTACTCAGATCACTCTTGATTTCTTAGTGTCCAAGTTCTTTATGGCTCTGTCTTGAAGCGTTGCTCTTTTAAGAACTGCGCGCGTCGTCCACTTCTGTGTGTGCATGCGTAGTTTCTCCTCCTCCGGCGGCCATTTGAAGACAGCCTCGTGCTCAGTCCGTGATCCTCTGAAGTTGCCGCTTCGTCAATTAAGACACACTCGCGTCGATGGACAGTCGAGTTTTCACTGTAATTCCCTCGAAGCACAGGCAGACACAAGTGGCTTTCTCATAACGGGTTTATTCCTCCGAATCCACCGTGAAAACTACACAAACAAACAGTATAAATGACAAACATAGTTTCGTGTTAGACACACAATAACATGCACAGCATGTGAGATAATAAACATAAAAGTAATACAAACACAACAACATACCTCGTTGGGCTGCATGCTCTGTAAACAGAGGGAAGTATTCTTCAGTTCTCTTCACAACTTATAGGCTATGTATAAGAATAAAAAACTAACGGAGCTTTAAGTATCCGTGCATCTAACTCTGAGGGTGCTTCTCATGTTCTCGCTCTCTAACTCACGCGCGAACAGCATAACGAGACGTGAGCTTGGACTTCAAAATAAAAGACGAAATATTGCACGCATGAAACATTACAACAATAATTATTATTACACTTAGAAAATACACATTACAGTTAAATTATGAACATGTAAAGGCTGCACTTACAACATGGGCACTGGTTATATTTTATATATTTTTATAGTTTTTTCAGCAGAAATTAGTAATAGTAAAATACTCCACTTTCTTTAAAGGCAACTATTATGCAAAATCCACTTTTTCATGTCTTTTCTACATAAACATGTGTCCCCTCTGTGTAAAGAGATTCTGAAAGTTTCAGGAAAAAAAGATTCGCTCACTTTTTGTCCTGATCCATTTATATAAAAACCTGTCTGAAAATGAGCTGATCAGATTTTGGCCACTTTATGATGTCCTAACGATTTGTTGGCTTGTGTAACCATTAGCCAATCAGCAACCAAGGTAACAACCCCTACCTTATCACCTGAATCTCCTCCTAGAGCACCATTGTGTTATTTTTAACCAAATATCTCTCAGAGGGGCGTGGCTCCTTATTTTCATCTAAAGTAACAGACAGAATCAGCACTTTTGAAATGGGGCTGAAACAGAGGGGATTATGGGATGCTACAATTCATGATCTGTTTGGTATTTCGAGCCAAACACTTCAGAGACATGTTTGTATATATCTGAGACCTATAATATATTGATGAAAAACAGTATAATAGGGGACCTTTAAAGTCAACTCCTTCACTTCTGGTCAGTAATCACAATAAGCTGTTATTTGCTCATCAACACCTGTTGTTTGCTGTGAGAGCAGGCTGTGTGCTGATGTGTTGGATTAAAATGCATCGAAGACTTCTACATTGGCTGGTGCAACCTTGTGTACTGTAATTATGACAACACAGTCAGATCTACAACATCTGCATCAGAAGAAGCTGTCTATTCAAAGCATTTCACATGAATAGTCATTTATTTTACCCCAAAGTTTTGTTTTTATGCAACATCTTTTATATCGCTATATGAAAGGGGTCATCCTAAAAGATTATACACATAATGAAAACATATTTATGAAGATAATATTACCTCTCTGATAATCGACCCCAATAAATACTACACACCGGCCCATTTAATAAGGCTATTTTCCAGTGCATGGCTGAAGAAAAATAGCTAGTTAGAGATATACGACAAAGTGGCCATCTAGGGACACAGACATTTTTACGGTCTATTAATCTATGAATAATTAAAGGCTCTCAGAAACTCCAGAGGAGATTATGAAACGGTCTTTCAATAAAGTAAATTGTTTAGTGGTATCCACGTGCAGCACACACACACACACACACACACACACACACACACACACACACACACACACACACACACACACACACACACACACACACACACACACAGAGAGAGAGTCTCTATTGTCAGGAGACTGTAAACTCAAAAAAAGAAATACCTGCACTCAATGTTACAAAAAAACAGAACAAAATAGGTCATACAAAGAGGCTCCATTACTCCTGATATGTGTATAATTTAATTAGAAGCGACAAAAACATGCACGGTCCAGATTCCTTTCACTTGTTATTAATACTCCAAAGTGACAAGAGATCACTTTCCTTCAGCTGGGGAAGAGAATTTTTGTCCTTTTTCTGTCACAATCATAATGCAGCAGGATTGATGACACCGTTTCCAGTTTTGTGAGCAGTGAAGAGATGTCCAAACAACAGCTGTTATGGCTGCCTTGCTTGCTTTGAGATTTGAAATGCTCACTCGCAGCGCTGGTGACAGTAAACAAGTGCTTCTGCGAGCAGATGATAAAAACAAATAGTTTCCAATCTCATCAAAGGCCAGAAATGGATTCAGAGCAGAGCTACTGTCAGCGCCAACAGTCTCGCAAATACAAATATTTTTGCATTTTTCTTCACATTAATGGGTTTTCTGCTGTTGTAGAAAAACTCTCCACTGTGACAACAGACTTATATTTGGTTCTGCTGGTTCAAATATAGGTTATAGATGAGAATGTGAGGGTGCTAATGATTGTTATCATTATTCTGAATAACAAATCAGCCTGATAAGAAGGAATGGAAAAAAAACAACAAAACTAAAACCTGATAACTGACTAAAGCCTCACAATGAAAGTGAATGAGTTTTGATTGAAAGATGCTCAGAAAAGTGACATAGCAAATCTTAAAAGTAACTCAAACATTTATTGTTTTATCAGCAAATGTTTTTAAATTGATGCATGGAAACAGAGAAGAAAGGGATGCAATAAGTGTCCTGTCTCCTGTAATGAGATGAAAAGCCTAACAGCAGTATTGGTCAGCTGGAAGGAGGGGGATTGATTGTGGATAAACCCAGAATAAAAGGATTGCTGTTGTCCAAATGAGATTAAGGTAAGTGATCATAACTACAAAAAAGGAAAAACTTTATTCAGGTTATAATCCTTAAAAATATAACATGAATCTTGTCTCTTTTTTCAAACTAAATTTGATTATTTCCCCCTGATGTTGGATGTTTCTTTCATGGAAGAACAACATGGCTATGAGTGAGAACTGATGGAGAGCCAGGTATGTTTCAAATTGCACTGTGCTGGTTTTCCTCTTCAGACCAAAGTGGCCATTTAATCAGATTAAATCCAATAAAGTTCTCTCAGCCAGGGTTTAGAGTAATCCAATATGAGACCAATCTCTTCAAAAGGATTGCGTAATATGATAATGTACTTTCAACTCTAAAGAAATTGGTAAACTGATTGTTATATACACAGATACTGTATCTATCTCTTCAATATTTCTGGTGTTATATGATTGCAACGTCACAAGTCAATAAACGGGAAAGATTTGTTAAAAAAATGTGATTACCAGATGAACTAAAAGCATGAACGATGGCTCTTTGCTAATATCAGTCAGAGCCACTTGAACAACAGCAGGCACACATGAATGGAAAGAGACTAATGATGTTGGTGTGAACAATAAAATGTCACTAAGAAGAGCTCATAGTGGATATGTTGTGTTTGTGTTCAAGCTTTCTAAAAGCAAGTTGAGGATTGACATGAAAGGGGGGGGATGCCTGGCGGAAGAAAAACAAATGCAACTTGCTGACTCTCCAGCTATTCAGTAAAATATAATAATAATACCTTACATTTATTATAGCGCTTTTCCAGATGCTTTACAAATACACATTACACTTTTTTTTTTTTATACATGCAATGGTCACTGTGGACAATACCCACAGTAGCAAGTTCAGGTGAAGTGTCTTGCCCAAGGACACAACGGCTTTACAGACGCAGCAGCGGCGGGTTTCACCCCTTGATCTGATGATCATTGCACAGCGCACTGCGCCACACCGTCCATCTTCACACCTCGAAGTCATCGAGGCGCTTTTACAAGTACACATTGATATCATACATGTACTGTGGACAATACCCACAGGAGCAAATCCGGGTGAAGTGTCTTGCCCAAGGACACAACGGCCGGAGCGGGTTTCGAACTGGAGTTCCCCAGCACACCCCTTGATCTGATGATCAGATGCACAGACCACTGCGTCACCCGTCCCTATACAGTGCATTGTGTTGTCTGTGAATGACTGTTTGGCAAATAAAACAAATATGTTTGTTCAAGCATAGCACATAAAACATGTAAATCATATAGAACATTTTCTCATATTGATATATATATATATACAGTTGCAAGAAAAAGTATGTGAACCCTTTGGATTCTCCACACATAGCGTTGTGTGTTCCTTCCAAACAACTCAACTTTGGTTTCATCTGTCCACAGAATATTTTGCCAGTAGTGCTGTGGAACATCCAGGTGCTCTTTTGCAAACTTCAAACGTGCAGCAATGTTTTTTCTGGACAGCAG